AATTTCTTATCATATTCTTGAACATGTAGTGCAGATATTGCATTTCAAATTTGTGATCTCCTAATTAAATCAAATATTTGCTGCTTGCTAGGTATCTGACCGGCAATGCTTTTGTTGGGCAAATTCCAGAGTGGCTTAAAAGTCGAGATACCAGATAGTAAGTTCAATTCTGTCTTGCCTTTTCATTTACACTGGTCATTCTTCTGATCTCAATTTAAAAAAGGACATGTATAGCATTAGGGTAGGATTATATAACAGGGTGATAGATAGAGAAGGCAGCATTAAATGTCACAACTAAATGTGGTTGCTCGCATAGAGAATCAGATTAAAAAGTCGTTCACAGTTCTCTTGTCCGGAACATGAATTACTGAGTCTTGTCTGTGTAAGTTTTTTGTGAGGAAGAATGGTAGCTTTGTGAAAATGAGTTGGATGGGTAATAAATAAAGATATTGAGATAAGGATATTGAGAACTTGCTGATTGTCATTAATTTAATTGCATTTAAAGCTGTTTTCTCTAAGTGAAGGCACAAGCTCTTTTCTTCCCTCTCATTAGTTTGAAAATACTTGATAAACTTATAACCATGGTAGATACTTTGTATGCAGCGTGATAGACCTTTCCTACAATAAGTTTGATGAGAGCTCTGAACCATCTACTTGTCGGGACAACCTGTACGATCCTTGTGTTTCTTATGCTTTTCTCCTGTTATCTTTTATATATATACGGTTCAGATGATTCCATGTTTGGTTTTCTTTTCTTATCAGAAACTTATTCAGAAGCTTTAAGGGCGGGAATTTTGTGTAAGTGTTGAATGTTAAATAAAATGATTAGGACTAATATTCTCTTGAAAGGGACTTATCCTCTCTGACACCTCTTTCAACGACTTCAGAGAGCAGGGAAAGTGCTTGTCAATGAATCCATGTTCAGAGGGTGAGAACTCACTGTTTGCAGAGCTTTGATTTCTTTCCTCTCCATTTAAACTCTTTTGTTTGACATTGTTCCATTGTGCAATAGTGCACCAGATTCTTTTTGATAATCGATAGAATGAAGTAGGAAGGCACAATTTGGTTCCTTTTGCAAACTATATAGATCATGGAAAAAATTGAAGCACCAGACAGTTTTCTCGACAATCTACAAGATCAAAACAGTTTTATCATTGTCTCATATTTCTGAAATATATTCATCATCTCCAGTAACCTTTCTCTGCTTTGAATACTGCAGACCAGTACTCACTGCACATAAATTGTGGTGGAGGAAGAGTAACTATTGGAAACACTACTTTTGAAGCAGATGAAGACTCGGCAGGTGCTGCAAAATTTGTTTACTGGAAAGGGAATTGGGGATCCAGCAGTACAGGACACTTCTGGGATCGTGTCATATCATTGAATGACTACAAAGCAGATAATGTATCTGCTATCACAGGAGACGAATCTCAACTTTACATGACAGCTCACCTCTCCCCTTTATCTTTGACTTACTTTGCACGTTGCTTAGCAAATGGAAGCTACACTTTGACACTTCATTTCGCAGAAATAGTTTACCGAGACAACCGATCTTTCCAAAGTCTTGGAAGACGGATATTTGATGTATACATACAGGTGAACCAACATGTCAGAGAATTAGATATAGTAAAATATCCAATTAGCTGCAGCTGACTTAGTTTAACTGG